GACTCAAGTTCAAACCCCTTGTCTCCAGGGTGGTGCTAGGTTCTTTCAACAGGAGACGTGTAACGTCTGGTTGTTCACTCTCTTCTGCTGTTGGCAGCCACTGACGTGTAGAGCCCAGACCCATTCATTCATCAAGGGCTGCCGGGCGATCTCCCCCCTCACCTCGCCTTCTGACCAAGCCTCTTCCCACCAGGCAAGCAGAGGCAGTCACAGACCCAGAGCTTTGCTCAGGTGTCTGACGCGAACCAAACATTGTGCTTCCCTCCCACATCCGACCTCTCTCTGGAATGACAGGCTCTGGGCTCGTGTGGTGTGTTCTCAAACGCCTGCTTCTCGGAAAAGGATGGGCCGGGTTCCAGGCCGGCCCTGCCTTACACCTCCTTCTCCTTCAGCAACGGTGAGCGTTAACCCTCCCATTTTCTCAGGAAAGCCACCCAGGCAGTTTATCAAGCAAGACCCACTCATGCCTGGGTGCGCGGGCCAAACGCTTGCAGCAGGCAGGACGCTCCTGGCAGGAGCCGCGCTCCGGGATCCGTGTCACCACATCTGGGAGGCTTGGCGCCCAATCCAGATGCCTGGGGCATCCCCCAGGCTGGGGTATTGTCTTCCGTGAAGCAAAACATGAAAACCTGCCCAGTGCTACAGACAACAGAAGCATGAAACAGCAGGATGCCTTACTCAGCATTTCCTAGCCCAGAGCCAGGTGTCTAACAACACTCTGCAGGCCAAATCTACGTATCTGTTTATAAAATATATTTTTATTGATTTGAGAGAGGAAAGGAGAAAGAGAGGGAGATAGAAACATCAATGATGGGAGAGAAGCATTGATCGGCTGCCTTCTGCACACCCCACACTGGGGATCGAGCCCGCAACCCATAACCTAACCGGGAATTAAACCATGACCTCTTGATTCACAGGTCGGATGCTCAACCACTGAGCCACGCCAGCCAGGCCACATCTACGTGTCTTGAGACATATTTCTCTCATTTTCTCACCTTTTAAAATATATATATATTTTTTACTGATTCCAGAGAAGAAAAGAGATGGAGAGAGAAACATCAATGATGAGAGAGAATCATCGATCGACTGCCTCCTGCACGCCCCCTACTGGGGATCGAGCCCGCAACCCGGGCATGTGCCCTGACCAGGAATCAAACCGTGACCTCCTGGTTCATAGGTTGATGCTCAACCACTGAGCCATAGTTCTCTGTGCTGAGAACTAGTAAGTCACTATTCATAGGTTGATGCTCAACCACTGAGCCACAAACTTTTTATTTAAATTGATTTGCAAAAAACAACTTTATAACACTTTCATTAAGAGAAAAACAGTTCGGCTTTCCGTGCTGATCAAGCTCTTTTAAAACCCCCGGGACTTCCTGTAGGATGCAGGGCCAGCATCACCCCCACAGCGTAACACAGTGCAAGAAGGCAAGGATCCTGTTTGCTCAGGGGAAATGGCATATGACAGGAAACACAGTGGCTATGGTGGGCAGACCAAGCCGATTTTCCACAAAAAGGTTAAAACTACAAAGAAGACTGTGCGGAGGCTTGAATGCGTTGAGCCAACTGCAGGTCTAAGAGAATGGCGGCCAGTAAGTGATGGGAGCATTCTGAACTGGGAGGAGCTAAAAGGGCCAAGTAGCAGTAAAAAAGAAGAATCTCTTACCCCTTGAGACAGCATGGAGGAGCCTGGAGAATATTACGCTAAGTGAAACAAGTCGGTCAGAGAAAGACAAGTATCACATGATCTCACTCATACGTGGAATCTAAGTAACAAAATAAACCGATGAACGGAGTGGATCCAGAGACATGGAGGCATGGAACAGAGCGCAGAATCCCAGAGGGAAGGCGGGGGAGTGTGGGTGGGAGGTCATCAATCAAAGACCTTGTATGCATATATGCACGGCCCATGGACACAGACAATAGGGTGGTGAAGGCTTGGGGGGCGGGGGGGCGGGGGTGTGTGTTGGAGAACAAAGGGGACATATGTAATACTTTCAACAATAAAGACTTAAAAAAATAAATGAATAAAATAAAAAAGAGAAAGGGCCATCAATGTTTCTAACTCTATCCCTCTCCCTTCCTCTCTGTAAAAAATCAATAAAATATATTTTAAAAAATTAAAAAAAGAGAGAGAGAGAGAAACACAGTTTTTTCACTTACCAAAATGAGAAGGAAACCTCAAGGAAAGTTAAATAATGAAATTAAATTCTAGCCAGAAAGCTTTGCCTGCTGATGGCTCTGAGCTAGGGATTTGCTCTTTTTTGAAAAGAGATGTTAGCAAAGGTTAAAGGAGTGTTAAAACGCATTGGCACAGACTGTCTTTGTCCCAGAGCAGTTCTCAGCCCGGAGGTGGATCTTTTCTCCAGGTGACATCTGCAATGTCTAGACACATTTTTGTCTGTCACAGCTGGGGGCAGAGGCCAGGATGCTGTAAACACTCTACAAAGCCCAGGGCAGCCCCCCCACAACAAGGAACATTTTGGCCCCAAATGTCAATAGTGCTGAGGCTGAGAAACCGTGTTTTAGAGCATTAAGAAGGGTCGGAAAAGAACTGAAAAATCATTTCCTCCCTCTGGGATTCCATGTTATTTGATGCAGGAACCGGGTACTAGGTAACACCACCCATTAGCCAGGGCGCCTGACCCACACTCAGAGGCAACTGTCTACATACGAGATGTGGTAGAACCAAGGCTGACACCAGCCACTGGTGCTGAAAGAACGCTGTTACCGGAAGGCTGATCTCGGGGATGTCCACGGGCCCGGGGCAGTGAGCCAGGACAAGGGGAACAGGGAAACGGAGGCAGAGAGCTGAGCGAACTACAGCAGACACAGAAGGTCACCGCCCCAGAGATAACCTCTAGGACTCAGCTGTATGTCAGCTCCAGACCCAGAAAAGCAGCAAAACCAGATGGATGACACTGGGACCAGCTGCAATGATAATGATCCCCTGCCCTGACACTGACCAATCAGTGGAGATCCCACCCTGAAGGAGCACTCCTAGAAAACTGATGCATGCTCTACTGAGACCCTCCCCTCCTGACACCTCCCCTAAGACTCCCACCTGCACGAGAGGTAAAGACAGAGGACCCAGTGTGCTCTCTCCCTCTGGGGAGCAGCACCTGACACCCCCTTTCCCTTCTCCTTCCCCCACAGGCATGTACCTCCTAAACTCCAAAGGACCCAGCAAGCCTTGCAATCAGGGGAGCAATGGGCAGTGGCAGCTCCTTGCAGGCTAGTCCCCTGAACCTGTCCCCAAGGCCCCCTTTTCTCTGACTTCCCAGAGACCTAAGGCAGCGCAGCCTAGGCGCTCCTGTGGCTTCTGCTGTGCTGAGCCCTGCTGTGTTTTACTGTCCCCAGCTCTAGTAAATGCTCCCTCACAGTTACCTGGACTCATGCTGTGAAATTCTTCCTGCATGAAGTCAAGAAGCCACACGCTACCGGCTGGTCCTGGGCAGACTTGCCAAGAGCCAGGTCCCCTTTCCGGTAACATCAGTGCTAGTCCCACTGCCATCCTTACAGTTAACATTTATTAAGCACCTACTATGTGCAGTCACTGTGCTGAGAACTAGTAAGTCACTATTCCAGCGAGAGGCACACAGGCCAGTGTTGCTGAGCAAGGAGGTAAATAAATGAGTAGAAAACGGTATCGTGAGAAAGTGTGTGCAGCTACTGGGAAGATGAGAAGCCACTGAGCAGGGGGCCAGGGGGTGAGCTGGGGGTCGGAAACAGAAAAGGTTTCCCAGGGAAGGTGATGCCTTGGTTCTCAACCCTCCCAATGAGCTCCCACCGGCTGGAAGCAGAGCTCGTTCAAAACCAGCGCCTGGCGCCTGGCAGAGTGCACGAGTCCAGACCCTGTCAACACTAATTTGTAGAATGGATAACAACCCATAAATATACACTAAAATAATTTTTAAAAAAGAAAAGCTATAATACCCATACAATATCCATGGCGTTGCTATGTACACGTGAAGAAAGAAAACTGGAAACAACCTGAATGCCAAACCACAGGAAGGCAGTTAGCATAATCTGAGGACTAACTGCTGTTTTAAGGGGTGCTGGCCATGTGACAATGAGTTTGCAATCAGTGTAGCAAAATGATTACACCTTTTCTCCTGGTAGCAGCTGTGAGAATTAACCCTCCCATTCCTGGAGAAAAGCCAGGCTCAGAGAAGAGAGGAGAAAGGAGTCTCGACAACCAATGCTATAGGAACTACTGAATGTCCTTATACACACTCAAAAAATTAAGTGTAACCCTTACCTCACACCATGCATAACTTGAAATGGACCACAACTTAATTGTAAAACCTAAAACTATAAAAATTCTAGAAGAAAACCTCAGGGAAAATCTTTGTGGCTTTGAGTTGGGAACATGTTCTTAGATATGACACCAAAAGCATAAAACAATTTTTTAAAAAATGAGGCTGTGTCCTAACCAGTTTGGCTCAGTGGATAGAGTGTCAGCCTGCGGACCAAAGGGTCCCGGGTCCGATTCCGGTCAAGGACACATGCCCGGTTGTGGGCTCGATTCCCAGTAGGGGGTGTGCAAAAGGCAGCTGATCCATGATTCTCTCTCATCACGGATGTTTCTCTCTCTCTCTCTCCCTCTCCCTCTCCCTTCCTATCTGAAATCAATAAACATATATTTTAAAAAAATGAGGCTGAGCAATAGCAACAGGAACAAGTTAGAACAGCATATGTTGTTATCAGAGTATTCCTCTTATGGCTGTCATTTATTTATGACAAATGGTGTGGGTTTCCTACTGATAGAGCAACATAAAGTGTCCTTTTTAAAGAAACGTGGTTAGGTTTCTAAAATGTGAATGGCCCTATGGAACACACATGCAGACAGGATACAGACTGACGGTGGAGAGGTGGGTTCAAATCCTGCCTCTTCCTGGCCTTGGGCAGGGTGAGGATTCTCTTCTTGCTTCAGGTTCCTCGTTAGGAAAATGGCTTCATATGAAATTCTGACCTCAAAGGGTTATGTCGGGATTTACCGAGTTTCTGTAGAGAAAGCTTAGAGCCGGAGCTGGCATGGGGTGTGCGGTAGCTCAGCGCAGCAGGTTCTCATTTAACATCGCCGATAGGGTCTGGAAACTGTGACTTTAAGCGAAATGATGTCTATGGAAACCAGTGTTGCCGCGAGCTAATTGAAATAAACAACAGCTAAGTTCCTGCGGCATATTTCTGGTCACAGAAAATCACTACACTTCTAAATAAAGACCAAAAACACCTCTAAGTATTAAACACTAAAGTAAGTATGAGCTATACACACACTTAAGAAAGACTAATAAAAACAAGTAGGATAATTCATTCCAGTTCAGGGTCCCTGGTGGCCGGAGCCTCTCTGGGCAGCTCAAGCCGCAAGGCGGGAATCACCCCTGGACAGGATGGGGGCGCCCACACCCACACCCACACTCGCTTTTAATTTTGAATGATTTCCTTTATTGCTGTTGGTTGCTCTGTGAGGAAAATACTTGATTATGAAAGAAAGAAAGAAACCCAATGTGCAACTAGTCACATGGCCCCCCTGAATGCTCTGAAATAAACAACGGCTTCAAGCAGCTGATGTCCTTCTGAAGGGTCTAACCTCTGACCTTCAACCTCTGACCCCTGACAAGCAAAAAGACTCAAAAGTGGAAAAACAGAGTGTGTCATCCTAGTGCCATTCTCAGTAAAAAGGGACAGCAGACCAAGGGACTCCAGCAGACCTCTGTGCCTGAAGGCTTCCGTGGGGCGACAGGATAAAAAAGACACAAAAAAAGCAGAAGAGGAGGCAGGGAGAAGTCAGCAAGAACCTGGGGTCTTCAGCTCCTTGGACAGAAACCTCTGCAGAGGGCCATCCTTTCTTTGCGGCAAAGCAAGTAACTGTCACCAAGGAAACAACCAACTTCACGAGGACGTGGAGCGATCGGGAGTCCCGCACATCATCCTGGGGAGAGTAACTCAGCACAATCATCGATGGAGACTCTGTGGCAATTCTAACAGAGCTAAACACACACCTGCCCGGTGACGCAGCAATTCCACGCCCAGGACTTAACCTGGAAAAATCAAAATACATGTGGACCTGGATGAAGGGGGCCGACAGTCTGAACTGCATCCCAAGAAAAAGGAAGTGTTGTGACTATGTTCGGTGACGGATGTTAACTAGACTGACTGTGGTGATCATTTCGCAAAACACACAAATATCGAGTCATTATGCTGTAAACTTGAAACTGACGTGATGATAAATGTCGACTACACCTCAAGGAGAAAATGTAAATACACAGGTACGTCCACAAAAAGAATGAACGAGAATGTGCATGGCTGTTCTATTCACATTAAAAAGAATAAGCAGTTCCAAACCTGAAAACAACCCAAACGTTCATCAGAAGAAGAATTGGGTGTACAGTCTGCGGTACAAGCACACAATGGAATACTGCTCAGCAAAGAAGAGGAACAAACGGCTGACCCATGCAACGTGGCTGAGTCTCAAAACATTATCATGAGCAAGAGGCCAGACACAAGAGCACACACTATGCAATCCCATATATGTGAATGCAAAAACAGGCAGAAAAACTAATCTATGGCCATAGGAATCAGAGCAGTGGTTGTCTGACCTGGGCAGTGGTGGTAGGAATTGACGGGCAAGGGTCATGAGGGAACTTTCTAGGGTGATGGAAATGTCCTAGCTCTTGACTGGGATGGTTTTCCCATGGATATACTGGTATATAATCACCAAGACCATCTAAACTGGGATGGGCAGTGTCCCCCCAAAGTCAAGTCCACCCAGAATCTCAGAATGTGACCTTATTTGGAGGGAGGTCAGACCAGATGAGGGCAGGCCCCAATCCAATGACTGGTGTTCTTATGAGAAGAGAAAATGGACAGACACAAGGAGAAACACCATGTGACGATCGAAACAAAGTGCCTGGCATGTCCAGGGATTGCCAGGGACTGCATGCAGCCACCAGAAGACAGAAGAGGCGATTGAGGATCTTCCCCGAGAGCCTTCCAACAGATCATGGCCCTGCTGACACCTTGATTTTGGATTTCCAGCCTCCGGGAGTGAGAGAATAAAATCTGTTCTTTTAAGCCACAAGTTTATAGCATTTTGTTACGACAGCCTTAGGAAACCAATATACCATCAAACAGCACGTTTAAAAACTGTTTTAACTAAATCATCCTCCAATTTGGGTTATTTTTGTGTTTTGTTTTGTGTGTGTAATTTTTTTTTAGTTTTGTTTTTTTAGAGAGGAAGAGAGGAAGGAAGGAAGGAAGGAAGGAAGGAAGGAAGGAAGGAAGGAAGGAAGGAAGGAAGGAGGGAAGGAGGGAGGGAGGGAGGGAGGGAGGGAGGGAGGGAGGGAGGGAGAGAGAGAAAGAAAGAAAGAAAGAAAGAAAGAAAGAAAGAAAGAAAGAAAGAAAGAAAGAAAGAAAGAAAGAAAGAAAGAAAGAGAGGGAAAGAGAGAAACATGATGGGCCCCGGCCAGCTATATCGAACCCATAACCCCGTAGGTGCTCTAACTGGGAATCGAACTCCAACCAACCAAACCACACTGGCCGGGCGTACTCCAATTTTTTATAAACTGGAAACAGCAAGCTGGTGATGAAGGCTCCAAGGTGACTCTCGCTTTACCACATTTGAACACCTGAAGAAGAGCCATCCTGCTGCTGTTCAGAATTCACAGAGTGGGAGACCCGGCACTGCCCATGGGGCCCTACCAGTGGCTCTCCCTTCACACTCCACCGTGCAAAGCTGCTCCCTTTGCAAAAATGCCTCTTGCAGGTCAGGGTTTGATTCCTGATCAGGGCACATGCCCAGGTTGTGGGCTCCATCCCCAGTGTGGGGGCGTGCAGGAGGCAGCCGATTGATGATTCTCTCTCATCATTGATGTTTCTAACTCTCCCTCTCCCTTCCTCTCAAAAATCAATAAAAAAATATTTTTTAAAAGATCAATGGGATTTATTCCAGGAGTGCAAGACGGTTCAATATTAGGAAACTTAATATAACGTAATAACAGATCCTAGAAGATCCATAAATGTTGAATGAGCATTTGACAAAAGTCAACACAATTTCCTGAAAAAAAGTCAATAAAGAATCAATGAATAATTCTTTAACGTGATAAAATATAAATCTCAGATAAAACCCAGTAGTTTGCTTAACTGAAAAGCATCAGAAACATTCCCACGAAAGTCAGGAATAATACACATGTGCACACTTTCATTGTATAGGAGGTACTAGCCAATGCAATAAGATAAGCTAAAGAAAAAAGAGATGTAAGAATTGGGTGGGGGAAATATAATGTACAGCATGGTTAACAATTCTGTATTGTATATTTGAAAGTTACTAAGAGCAAATCTTAAAAGTTCTCATCACAAGAAAAACATTGTCATGATGTGTGATGATGGATATTAACTCAATTTATTATGGTGATCATTTCACAATATATACATATAAAAAATCATTATATTGTATACCTAAAACCAATATAATGTTATATGTCAATTATATCTCAATAAAAATAAAGACTTGGACGGGAGGAGGTAAATTATTTCCACTTATAGATAATACGGTTCTAAGACTTGCACATCTAAGAGAATCAACTGAGAGATGTCTATAAACAACAGCCAGTTAGAAAAGACACCACAAAAAAGTTAAGCACTTATGAACAAACTTATCAAAAAATATGCAAGTTATATTATAAAAAACTATGAACAATACTGAAGGACACAGAGGATTTAAACAAATGAAAAGACACACCATGTTCCTAAATAGGAAGATTCAACATTATAAATATGTCCATTCTCTGAAGTTAATGTGTAACCGTAAAACAATCCCAATACTTTGCACAAAAGAGGATATTTAAATGTCCAATAAATACGTTTTTAAAGCAGTGAAACATATTAGTCATTAGAGAACTGAAAACTAAAATTGCAATGAATTGCCACTATACATCACACATCAGAATGGAAAAAAATATATAAAAAACAACTGTTGTAAGAATAGGGAATAGCTGAAATTCTCAGACACTACCGGAAGGAGGGCAAATTGTTACACATCGCTATGGAAAACAGTTTGGCAATATTTTCTGAAGGTGAACACATGCCCATCCCATGGCCCAGATATTCCTCTCATCAGTAAATATCCAACAGAAATGTGTATCTGTGAGCACCAGAAGCCATGTATGATGGCCAAAACCAGAACAACTTAAGTGTCCATCAGCAAAAGAATGAATTTAAAAAAAACTAATAAATATAATGTTGAGCCAAAGAAGAACTGTGCATATATACAATGAAATATGACTCAGCCATAAAACAAATGAAATCTTGCATCTGCAACAACATAGATGAATCTAGAGCAGTGATGGCGAACCTTTTGAGCTCGGCGTGTCAGCATTTTGAAAAACCCTAACTTAAAAAAAAAACAAAAAAAACCCTAACGTAACTCTGGTGCCGTGTCACATATAGAAATTTTTTTATATTTGCAACCATAGTAAAACAAAGACTTATATTTTTGATATTTATTTTATATATTTAAATGCCATTTAACAAAGAAAAATCAACCAAAAAAATGAGTTCGCGTGTCACCTCTGACACGCGTGTCATAGGTTCGCCATCACTGATCTAGAGGGTACTGTGCTGAGTGAAATAAGTCAGACAGAGAAAGACAAATGCCATATGATTCCACTTATGTGTGGAATCTTAAAAAAAATTTTAAAAAAATAAACAAGCAAACAGACTCACAGATACAGAGAACATTCTGACGGTTGCCAGATGGAAGCGGGATTGGGAGGACTGTGTGAAAAAGGTGAAGGGATTAAAATAGATAATCCCTATTTAGGGATTAAAATAGATAATCCCTATTAGTATCTAAAAGTACAACTTGGTAGTTACAGAATAGTCACAGGGATGTAAAGTACAGCTTCAGGAATATAGTCAATAATGTTGCAATAACTCGGTAGGGTGTCCGATGGGCACTAGATCTATTAGAGATGATAACTTTGTGAGTTATATAAATGTCTAATCACTGGATTGTACACCTAAAACTAATATAATATTGTATGTCAACTGTAATTAAAAAATTAAAAAAAACAATTTAAAAACATATATACTTACTGTTGAGCCAAAGAAGGCAGATGCAAAAGCATCTGTGTATATAAAGTTAGC